ATTCAAGGTTTCCCTTACTGGTTCTGACACATATACGGGATGATGCAGAGGATCAGATAAATGCAAAACACTGAAACCACTGCAAACCCCACCAGGAGCATTTAGCTGCCATGGGATACACTTCTAACTGCCAGGTTTGCCTGGGGGTGTTTTTTATATAGTGAGATCTTGATGCCATCTCTGTAAGCACTGAGTTTGGACAAGGTACAATTAGCAAGCTAGATTGTTATCTTTTAAATGGGCCTTTGCTTTTTCATTTCTGATTCCATTATCTGTTATCATGTCATGGGAGCCATCAGATTAAAGGATGAACAGAACATCCTTAGACTACAACTTGAGAAAAGGCATTCAAATGTAAAATATCCTTAAGTTATGACCTTATTATAAGTTAGATACAAAGGCCTATATAAATACACTCCCACTATCCAGATCTTTTTTTTTTTTTGAGACAGAGCCTCAAGCTATCACCCTGGGTAGAGTGCCATGGCGTCACAGCTCACAGCAACCTCCAACTCCTGGGCTCAAGTGATTCTCTTGCCTCACCCTCCCAAGTAGCTGGGACTACAGACACCTGCCACAGTGCCGGCTATTTTTTTATTTTTGGTTATAGATGTCATTGCTGTTTGGCAGGCCTGGGCTGAATTTGAACCGGCTAGCTCTAGTGGATGTGGCTGAGCTACAGGTGCCGCCCTGACTATCCAGATCTTTACATGTGATTCCAAATAAACTTACAAAACCCCAAGATGTTAAGTTGGAAAAATTCTAACCAAGTTATCTATTCCTTACATTGCAAATGAGTTTCAACATGTCATTAACTGCCATGTAAGTAGCAGTGTTGAGAAACAGTCTGAGGCCAAATCTGGTGAAAAAAAGATTGATTAGCAATGTCTGCCCTGGCCATTATAATACACATTTGCCTTTCCCCCTTTTGAATTTAAGCCTCACTTCACAGATGAGAATTCAGAAGCCCAGAGAAGTTGCATCACTTTCCTGAGGTCACACAGTGAGTTTAGGGGAGGAGAAAAGACTAGAAGCCAGGCCTCTGTTGCTAAGCCTTCCTCAGCTAAGCTCCTTGGCAGACATTAAGCCCAGAATAAGAGAAAGAATGCAGGGAGCCAGATTTGCTCTGGTAAATCAACACAACAACCCTTCCCCACTGGCATCAGATTTCACCTGGATATGCAGACAGAGAAGTGATTAGCAGTCTAACCAGCCTCTCTGTAGAAAATTAAAGAGATAATTCCAAGGCTACATTTCTACATACTCAACTTTCTGATAGGCAAGGCTCTGTCTCTAGGAAGACTGAAAAAAGGAGGAAAAAAAATCTATTGACTTTTGGGTGTTCTAAGAATAATGTTCAGCTCTGATGCAATGAGAAAAATACTTAAAAATTAAAGTCATTGATAATCCATTACCCCATCAACCTCTATTCCGTGAATGCTATAATCCAATAAAGTCATTTCTCACAAGAGATTATGAGAGATTATGGCTTTAAATGAGGGACCACAATAAATTTCCTAACATAGGTTTTTTAGTTTTTTTTTTTTTGTTGTTGTTGTTGTTGCTTGGGGCGGAGTTGAGAGAAGAGGTTTTAACTGGAGCCTCGTCCCACCTTGGCCTATCAAAGTATTGGGCCTTTGATAGAGTTCAACTTCTTGCTCTGTCTATCCTGCTTCATTCTTCTACTTTCACTGGTCCTCATCTAGACAGCACTGCCCATTAAATATCCTGCTTGTATATTTCGATCACAGTGTCTGCTTCCCAGGAAACCTACACTGTACTGCTAACACTATATGTCATTTAATGTATGTAATATTTTGCATGGAAAATATATTTCATTATCCTTGTGCTCGGACATAAAAATTAACTCATGTAATAAAGTAAATAAATAAATCACACCCAAAATAAAAAAAAAAAGCAAAGTGTTGGGATTACAGGAGTGGGTGACCAAGCCTGGCCTAATGTGTATTTTTAGTAATAGATTCCCAAGCCTGGAATATGAAACAGGCTACAGAATTAAACCAAGGTGTTAAACAGATTGGGGACTGGACTGAGAGGGATCCCCATATTGAAGTTGTCTTCAAGACTGGCTTTTCTTACTTGGATTCATAGCTTTCCAAGAAGCCATCTGACTAGAAGAGTGCTGAAATCCTAGAAGCATTATGTGTCCTTTATACATCAGTGGCCCCACCAAGCTGCAGAGGTAAATCCAGGCTGAGCTGGCATGACAGTTACATGTAAAGTTATGTTCTAGCAGATGACAAACACTCTTAATTTGAAACTCTTGATTCTTTAATGCAGTGGAGAAACCAAGAAGTTAGAGAGCTGCTTGAACAGTGGATATGTTACCCTCAAAGAAACGTCTCACAAACCTGTAAGAGACACATTTTTCATTTGGATAAAGTCCTATCAGATTTCCCTCCAGATCCTCTGCAGAGAGATCAACAAGGTGCTCCGGAATGACTTTCAACAATTACAAGAGTGACAGTCTGAGCTCAGAACTGGTCAGCTCTGTCAAAAAATCTCTGTATGCTCAGGATGCCAGATGTCCCAGATAGCAGCCTGATGTGTACATGCATGTTCCAGTGCACAGGGATGAGGGATGGAACAGCATCGCTCCAAGAAGTCAGTCTCTTTCCTCAAGACCAGCTGACATTCAAACGACAGACTGAGGGGCCAAGCCCAGCGCTCTGCATGTGCCCGAGAGTAAAACAAAAAGGGGCTGTGTAGAAATTTGGCAGGGTGTTCCTGAAAGGGAGCAGATGAATGCTGAATCCTATAGCACCTAGAAGAGCTTATCCTTGGGAGAAACAGCTCTATTCTGCTGTTCCCAGGAAGCAAAGAGATTTTCTTTAAAGTGAGGATAATCATTTGGCATGCCCCCCTACCAACACCACCACCAAACACCATCACCACATCTATCTATCTCCTCCGCTTCATGCTATTCCAGAGAAAAAGAAAGGAAGAATTAGACCTTCCCAGATGAGCCTGTCTGTTTCAGTTAGGGGCTCTAAGCAGCACCCAGCTGTTGCTCCCCTCTCTCTATGCCCCAAAGGCTGCTGTACTCCATCAATACCCTCTTGTACAAGTCCGTAATTTACTTTGAAAGCTCAGGGCAAACTGGCAGTTAACCTTGACCTTCTCTACACATCTGGGTCTATAGAAAATGAAAATCAGGACGTCTCTGGCATCTACAGCAAATGAAATACGAGGGCTTTCTCCAGGCAGAGGCGGAATGTCAAGAGCTATTTTAGAACTGGCTACAGCTATTCCAAAGGAGAGTTTGCACTTGGACAGGACACTCTCCCTTGACTTGGGGCTGCATCCAGTATGGAACCTCTACCACTAGGGATGATACAAGGGACTCCCACCTCAAGAAAGGAAAAAGAATTAACCATTGTATTCCTCATTGATTCACTGATAGTATCACAGATTGTTGGAGCTGGACCAATGATCACATTTTACAGATGGAAAGTAAGGCTCAGAGAAGGAGCTGAGGGGTGATGAAGGACACACACAGCAGGTTAACCATGGAGCTGAGAATAGAACCCTGCTTCCTGGCCCTGATGGTGGTACAGAGTAGAAACAGAGGAAAGCACTTTCATGAAGGAAAAATCCCTACAAATAGAGCATTTAAGAGACAGAGGTACAAATTTGCTGTTAAGGTTTGAACCAGAAGTTTGGCAAAGGAGTTGGGGTCTTTAGTTTCCAAACAGTAAGCTCTACCAGAAATATCAACCAGATCCTCTGGGATAGTTTGAAGCAATTATCAGAACGACAGGCTAAGCTGGAATTGGTCAGCTCTGTAGCAAAGAGCCTCTGTGCTCAAGATGCCAGACTGCCTAGACAGCAGCCTGATACTGAGAAGAAAAAGGAAAACTATCAACCTTCAAAAAATTCAGCCTCTTCCCTCGAGGCCAGCCAACAATCAGCCAAGTCTGACCCTGATGCACACATTACCTCCTTCCCATGGGACCAGGGAAATCTCATTAAGAAAACCTGAAACGTCCCACTGTATGAAACAGTTTAGGCATGCATACGCTCACTGGCACCTATTGGGAGGGTAGGAGTGATGTGACAGAGCTTCTGCCATCAGGGAGCTGCTAGTCTGAACTACACAGGGGCATGTGCACAGCTAAGTTCAGAGGAGGCAAAAACAATGAGGATCCCAGTTTGGGTTGCAATAAATACAACTAATCAGAGTAGCAAATTTAGAAGAGATAGGGAGGGCATCTGGTGTTTGATCCTCAGAGTACTGGCCACCAATAGCCTTTGGGACATTTGGGGGATCCCTCCACCAGAGCCTCCACCTTTGGACTCCCAGAAGGTCAAGGGCAGCAGATCCCTTAAGGAGTACAGGTTCCCTCCCTTCCCCACACCCAGATGCCTGAACCTGCAATGGGAGCATGATCTTTGCATCCTCCAAGGAATCCACAGAATCTGAGAAAGAAATAAGGCCAGAGAGGAGGGCAAACAAATACGGAGAGGAGAGGACTGAGGCCCGGGTGTTTGCCAGGCAGATAGGAAAACAGGAAAGGGGCTAACCTGAGTAGGGAACAGGAGATCAGCAGGTGGGGTTGGGGGGAGGAGAAGCAGAGAAGCCCAGGTCACCAAATAGAAGAACCAGCATCTCCATTTCCATTGGCAGAAGTCAACTTGGGCCATAGCTATGCAGAAAGGAACCTCCAAAAGAAAGAGATGCTGGAAGGGGTCAGGGAATACCAGATGGGGACATAAAGGATGACAAAATACTGTAAGAAATAACGTCCTGGGTTCTAGTTCCAGCTCTGTTTCTGAGTAGCGTGGGACCCTGGACAAGTCTCGATAGGACACAATTTTCTCTCAATTTTCCTCAATCTTCCCATCCGAAAAATGGGAAGACCAAGAATCTCTGGCGCTGATTCTGAGAAGGCAGAAGGAGAAGGGGAAAGAGAACCGCGGATTAGAAGTAAATTTGGGGAGGGAGTGTCCCCAAACCCTATGGCAACTAAGGGACTCACCTGTCCTGCCGCCGGGGCCACCGCCGCCCCCGATCCCCCGGGGGTGCCGTCGGGCTGCCGCTCGCGGTACAGCGCCCAGAGCCCCACGTTGGGAAGGAGGACCAGGGCCGCCAGCACCAGAGCCACAGCCTGCAGGAGCCGCTTCTCCTTCCGCCTCATCGGGGCCAGTCAGCCCCGCCGCGCCCCGCCGGCACCGCCGCGCCGCCCCCAGCTCCGAGCGTCCGCCCGTCCGCCCGGCGGCGGCAGCAGCTCGGCGAGCAGAAGCGGCCGCGGCGCCGGCCCCGCTCCAACTCCGCGGCACTTCCGCCGCTCGCCGGCCGGGGAGTCGGACGCAGCCACCGCGCCGCCACCACTGGGGGGGTTCGCCGCCGCCGCCACCGCCGCCTCAGGGCCCCGCCGAGCCGCGCGCCCCACGCCGCCCTCCCTAGGGTCGCCTGCGAAGCCGAACCACAACCATCCTCAACTCCCTCGTGGTGCTTTCCGGTCCGCTCGGGCGCAGGAGGGGACCGGGTCGGATAGCTTCCCCCTCTCGCGCCGCGATGGTGCGTCCCGCTCCTCGGCGGCTCCTCCGCCCCCGGGAGCTTTGCGAAAGTCCCGGAGTTGGCGAGTTGGGCGCTAACTGGTGTAGGCTAAGCACTGGCGGGCGGTGAGTGTCCGCGCGCTGGGGCGCGCCGGGGGACCCCAGCGCCCCGCCCGGCCACCTCAGTCCCGGACTGCAGCGGAGAGTTTGCGAGCTCCCTGGTGATATGCAAGTAGTGCTGGAGGCCCGCCGGACGCTCTGCGCCCGCAGCCCCGGCGACTGTCGCTTCCCACCCACCTGAGCTCAGCACATAGGACCTGAGAACGTACTTTGACCCCGGAGACTCAGTGTTCACAGCCGTGAAATGGGGCCACAGCTGTGCTCCACGGTGTCTATTATGCGGTTGGGCCCTGCTTTTCTTCCTCTTGGAGGCCCCTGAGATTAAGTGTGAACTCCCTTTGTAAACTGTGAACAGCTGTGCCTTCCTCCCTCCACCTGTCTGTAGATCCAAATAACTGGCGGGTAGGTGACTCTAGTCTCTCCACGGGCCTTTTTTTCATCCAAATCCAACTCTCTGGAAGTTAAAAGTCCCTCTAAACCAGTCCCACACGTGCTTCTGGACACGCAGCGCACTGAGCCCTTTCCGAAACCTCTTGTGGGTTTCCCATTCAGCAAACGGTCAGCGAGCGCCTACTGTGTAATACTGTGCCAGGCTCTGGAGTGAGATGAAAACAGACCCGAGCCCAGAGTCTGGCGTTGAAACATTGAGCACGAGGCACCGTGTCTGTAATGTGGTGAGGGCTTTGAAGAAGAAATCGGGCTGTCTGGGGCTGCCAGGGAGGGTCGCGGAGAGGGATTCCGACGGCGACGCCAGTGGCTCCTCCTGGGGCGCTCAGTGCTCGTCACTTTACTGCTTCCTGCCTGATGCGGAGGGACGAAGCTGCCTCTTCGCTGCCTTCCTTTCTGCCACCCCACAATACGTCCTCTTGATCTCTGCTTCTCCAGCCCAGTCGCTGACCACTATGTCTAGCCTCCCCCAGCCTTAGATAGCGTCCTGCCGACTCTGGCGTCCCAGTTCTTCCAGCTCCTCGGCTGAGCGAGAGGGATTTAGTTTTCAGACATCACAGCTCAGATCTTATCGTCTGCAACAAACGTCAAGGTTTCAAGTCTCCCATCATCCCAGAGTACACACTTCTCGACCAGCTAGGGCTGGTCAAACCTTACTTCCTCTCTTCTACCAGGCTGCTGGCTCTGTTTTCTTTAATGTGCTGTTAACCACACGGACCCCTCCACCCATAAAGGTCTCTCCTCTTCTCATGTCGGTGGAAATCTTGTTCAGCCCTCCATGTCTTGTTGACCTGCTATGTCCTCCACAAAGTCTTCCAAAACTTCTCCTTGTGGGGCTGGTATCTTTCTTTGGATTTCCATCACAATAATGCTTGCCTAGTACTGAAAGCTTGCTCTGTGTTGGGCACAGTCACCCTGGGAGGGAGGGGTAGGTGCGTTTCTTATACCGGTTTGCAAATGAGACTCAGACTAAATAATGCCACAGCCAGAATGTTCCTATCTGCTCAAATTTCTCCAGTAGCTTCTCACCTCCCACTAGATTCCTACAAGGAACTACAAGATCCCACCGGGCCATATGTGAATAGCCCTCAGCCCTTACTCTATTCATTGTGCTCCAGACACATTGGCCTCCTTGCTGTTCCTCAGCACATGCCAGGCACACTCCGACCCTGCCACCTTTACACTTGTTCCCTCTGCCTAGAATGCCCACGCTTCTTTTTCTATATCCTAACCCTTTGTATTTTTAATTTTTTAAATTTCAGATTAATATGGGGGTGCATCTGATTGGATTACATAGTTTGCCTTTATAAAGTTAAAAGTCTGGGTTATAGTTGTGTCCTTCACCCAGGAAGTGTACAGTATATGCATTGAGTGGGAATTTACCCAACCCTTTCCCTCTTCCCCCTTCCCTCTTCTCCTTACTTGATTTAAGAGTTTCTCAAAAAACATGAGCATGTAGTTGTTAATCTACTGATTCTAATTAAGAACTGAGTAAATGTGGTGCTTGTTCTTCCATTCTTGTGATACTTCTCTTAGGAGAATGTTTTCCAAATCTATCCAGGTGTTATAAAAGATAACAAAATCTGTATCTTTTTAATGGCTGAATAGTATTCCACGGTGTACCTATGCCACAATTTATAAATCCATTCATGTGCTGAGAGGCATCTATGTATTTTTTCAAAATATATTTTATGATGATAAAACCATAAACATAAAATTTACCATTTTAGCTTTTTAAATGTGCAATTCAGTAGCATTAAGTAAACTCACATTGTTGTTCAATCTTCAGAAGTGTCCATCTTCAAAGGCTCTGGGTGTGGTGGCTCACGCCTGTAATTCTAGCCCTCTGGGAGGCCCAGGTGGGTGGATTGCCTGAGCTCAGAAGTTTGAGACCCTGTCTCTAAAAATATCTGGGTGTCGTGGCAGGTACCTATAATCCCAGCTACTTGGGAAGCTGAGGCAAGAGAATAGCTTGAGCCCAAGAGTTTGAGGTTGCTGTGAGCTATGACACCATGGCACTCTGCCAAGAGCAACTCACTGAGACTCTATCTCAAAAAAAAAAAAA